TGTAGTTGAGGCAATTGCCTGCGCAACAAATATAATCATGCCATCAGAAACTAGCTGGGTGGGGAAATTAAGTCGTTTGTGTGAATCCCGGGGAGCCTCGGGGTGGAGTGTCTGGCTCCTGTGCTGGAGTGGGGTGGAACCCCCTCGATGACAACTGGATTTGTCTTTATTTTTGGTGTGGATTCAACTGACAAGCTCTAGAGGAAAATAGTGTTGATAGTTTTGCCTGCGTAGGAAACCCATGCACTTTCCTTCTAGAAGAAAAAGTACAATATTTGTTTAATTTTTCCAAGGGGTGGTGCCAGTTAAGACAGTATTCCCAGAAAATACTCAGCAGCAAATGCTCGTCTAAAATTTTAAACTCTCGTTCTATAATATCAGAAGCCAGTAAACCAGAACATATGACCAACTTCTCATGTCATGTTTGCTTTTTAACAGAGAGGTATCATGTGTCACAGAATGTGGAGCCGGGCCCTCAAAAATCACGTTTATTAAAAAAAAAAAAAAAAAGAACATTTCAAAAAACAATTTTCTAAAAGAAAATATTATTCACTTTATCTTCATTTTACACTGTGAAAATTCCTACATCCTCATGACTATTGTTAGCTTTCTGTTGTTTATGAGACTATCTTTCACTGGAGGGTAGAATCACATTCCACTTGGAATCACCGAACACACTGGAAAGGGCTTGCTTGGCTTCCTTTTTAACTTCCGAGTCTTGGGAGAAATACGTTGTGCTGATTTATAACAAAATTTGACCAGTTAAACATTAATTGTACAATTTGTTGGCATTAATTATATCCACAAGGTTGTGCAACCATCCCACTATTTAGTTCCAAAACGTTTTCATCACCACAAACAGCAACTCTGTACCCATTAAACAATAACTTCCCATCCCTTCCCACCGCCCAAGTCCTAGCCCCACCACATCATAACCTGCCCTCTTCCTTAGGCCTTTACCCGTTCTAAACAGCTCATGTGAAGTACCCTACATTAGTGGACTCCCACAATAGTTGTCTTTTCATGTCTAGCTTATTTCTCTCAGTATAACACCGTGACTGCATTTCTGTGTGGGAACACGCAACATAATGTTTTCGTGTTGTTGTTGTTTTTCCCAATAGCTGAATAATGTTTCCTGATATGTATATGCCTTTTTAAAACCTTTTGATTTGTGGATTCCTATGTGTCCATTTGGGTATTTCCGCCTTTTAGTGCTTTGGAATAAGGCCGTAGGAACACGGGTGTATAGGAAAATGAGCTATTGTAGTCATGTTATGCTGTGAGAGTCTCTGAAGGTTATCTAATCCTAACCGGAATGCAGGTCCTTGCAGGTGTGATAGGACAAAACCAACCCAAAGGAGATTCTTCTATTGCAGCCCGAGGTGTGACATACAGAAAGCACAGACACTCAATTCCCATTGTTCTCTCTAGTCACATGGACTGGAAACTCAACATTTTCATCTGCATTTCCAAGACCCAACCACACCCATTGCTATCTAGCTGATTCTGACCGATGGTGACCCCATGCATACAAAACAGACCCCAGGGTTTTCTTGGCTAGCGGTTTGCAGCAGAGATGTCTTCCATGAACCCATCGAGTGGATTCAGCCGCCCATTGGCTTGGTCAAGACAAAAAACCAACCTCCCCACATCAAGTCTATTCTGACTCATCTTGAACCCTTTGTAGGACAGGGTAGAACTGCCTCTCTTTACGGGAGCAAATGAGTTCACATAGTTTATGCCACCCAGGAACTTTGCGTTCTGTTTGAAGACAGTTGTTATATATTACATTAACAACAAATTCAGCTAGCCACGCTGCGATTCATGCCTAAGCAAAGCTTACCTAGCGCCCATATTTTCTCTGCCAAGACCCAGCACAGCCTGCACTTAGGGACACTCACGCGGGGCCTTTTTTAAATAGCAAAATCGCCAAAAGAAGCAGTGAAAAGGTAGGGCTAAACAGATTGCCAAAAGGCTATATGACTCCTCGCCAATTAACCATCTCACTCTCTGCCAATTAACCATCTCACTCTCTGACATTCTGTATTTAGGACAATTGTGAAAAATCTGCTATCTGACTGTCACGTTAACTACAGCCCCGGAAGTAAAACATGGAGTCGCAAGGGGAGTTACTGGCTGTGATGATGGTTCAGGTGATATGTCCATTCCACTGGACCATGATTCTCAGTGGCGTGGCATGGATCCTATGATATAATTGAGCAGTTGTGTAGTGGGGTAGCCAGCCTCTGTTTTGGAATTCGAAGTGGTCGTCCTCCCTTTTTTGCAAAACAGCCTGGTCTTTGGAACTTAACCATGTGGACGAGTGATTCGTTTCCTTCCTTCACAGCAGCTGAAATAAGAAGCAGGGTGCTCTCTCATGTGACCACAGCTGGGAGCAAGCATGACAGTCATTTTCACATTTTTCCTGTTCTGTGCATCTCCACGAGTGACTGCAAAAGCACTGCAAGTATCTATGTTGAGGTTATGAATAAATATTTTAAAGAGTCCTGTAGTGCTATAGGTTGGGCGGTCCACTGCAAATGGCAAGATCAGCAGTTCAAACCCACCAACCACTCCCTGGGAGAAGGATGAGGCTGTCTACAGTCTTGGAAACCCGATACAGAGTTGCTATGAGTTGAAATTACCTGGATAGAAGTGGGTTGGGGTTTGGCTGATACATTTTAAAGTAGTAGTGGTTCAGGATTGCCAACAGAGAGTTTGTCAGTACAAACTCAGCAGCAGTGATTCCAGACCATAAATATTGATAATCTGTTCCTGTTATCCTAAAAGACAAGTCTCCTTAGCCCTGTAGGGTCTCTATGAGTTTAATTGATTTGACAGGCTAGGATAACTCATTGCCATCAAGTAGTGAGCCTATAGGACAAGATAGAACTGCCTCTGTGGATTTCAGAGATTATAACTGTTTACAGGAGTAGAGAGCCTCATCTTTCTCCCACAAAGTAGTTGGTGGATTTGAATTTCTGACCATATGTTTAGCAACCCGATGTGTGACTCGCCATGCTCCCGCTGACAGGTGAACTTACAAATAAGGAACCTGTGAGCCATGAGGGTCAACTGTCTTTCATGATTGCTTACTCATTATAATATGGACCAGGTTCAGCTTTGGCTTCACAGCCATGTGTATGAATGTTTTAAATAATTAATTTCTGCTATTTTAAATAAAGTGGCAACATGCTCTGTCAACGGTGAAGGGCTGCATCCATGAAAGATGTGTGGACGTTGACCCACCTGCAGACTTAAATTCCACAGGAAGTGCAAAGCCGGAGAGAGTGCGCACGCATGTGTGTACTTCCCAACCAGAGGTGGTCAAACATGTCTGCATGCCACGCTGAATTTCGAGATATCGCATCCAACTCTCACACTCTCTATCTCCGTATCTATTTCTGTCAGTCCTCATTCCTTTCTGCCAAGTTATGGCCCCCAAATGGCAAACACTTAAATCATGCAGAACCCATGTCAGCTTCACTTGAAGAGCAGGCAGCCTTGTCGTCGGTGGAGCGTATCGAGAGACCAGCATGAGTGTGCACACGGAGCAGTGGGCATAGGTCTGAGAGCGTGCAGTGCCGACACTACTGGCTCGGGTTGTTTTGGTAATCACCCGCTGAGTCACACGTCTAACCTTGGAGACAGCTAGTCCCCTGCTGTTTCTTATTTATTGTCTGTCCAAGTAGAAAATAAAATGGTGTGGGTGTTTACTCTCTGAGCACAGATGTTTGTAAATATGCACGCGTCTCTGTATTTCTTTCCAGGGGCTCTATCTACATATGGGATCGGAGTTGTGCCGTTCACATCAATAGACTCCAGGAGGGCAACTCCAGCACTTGTCTTCTCCCGGCACATTGTCTGTGTTCATGTGTTTGTGTGGCAGTCTGCTTTTTTCTTTTCTTTTTTGACAGTGTGTTTCTTTCTTACTCAGTCTTGGATGGGATCCTCTAGGGCGGTGATTCTCAACCTGTGGGTCTCGACCCCTTTGGGGATCGAACGATCCTTTCACAGGGGTCACCAGACCCTATCAGTAATACAATGACAGTTATGAAGTAGCAACAAAAATAATTTTGTGGTTGGGGGGGGGGGGATCACCACCACATGAGGAACTGTATTAAAGGGTGGTAGCATTAGGAAGGTTGAGAACCACTGTTCTAGGGGCAGGTGCCTTAACACAACTGCTGGTGCAAGGCTGAGCCAGGCAAGCAGGAACTCTTCCTGTCTACCTGCTCTCTAAGTGACCCAGGACCAGGAGGGAAAAAACAAGAGCGGGGGGACCCAAATTTAGAAACCGCATTCAGGTTAAAGGGCACCCACCATCCTGCTATGGATTCTGCCTAGAGGACAAGGCTCTCATTTATAAAGATCATTAGTCACTGAGATATATATTTTAGCGGGTTCCCAGTAGCGAATATTCCGTCGGCAGTCACTGGAGTGTACCAGATGGTTCATTAGCATAGGCTAGACAAGTCAAAGGCTTTCAGAATCATTTAGAAAATGTCAAACAGAAACAAGAACCCTGTCACTTTTTATTAGAATTAACTGCATCATACCCTGGACACGGATTTCACCTTGGGTCAGAAAAATTAATACAGTATTATATGAATTGTGTAATATACTGGTTTAAGATAGGTCTCTCTCTAGGGACTCATCTGCTGGCGATATATTATGATCCCTCTACGTTAGGAATCCTCAGACCTTTCCCTTTGTAGGCTGTGAAAAGAGTTGACCTTGCTCCAAATCCACTGGTGTCTAATTGATGCCGAGGTCTATGCAGAATTTCAACAGGACATTCTTCTAAAGCTCTTTTGTGAGCCGGTTCCCAGGAAGCTGGGTGAGGGAGGCTGATGGAATATTCAGCAGCACGGAAAGGCTCTGCTTGATGTCAAGAGGAAAAGACCCCCATTAATTGAACACACAGCTTGCCTGCACGGGAATTCAAGTGCAATCGAAATGATTTTCCTTTTGCTTTCTTTCTCTCTCTTTTGACTCAGATGTCAAAAACCTCGAGAACTTCCAGCTGGTGGAAGGTGTCCAAGAGCAGGTGAACGCCGCCCTCCTGGACTACACCATCTGCAACTACCCGCAGCAGACCGAGAAGTTCGGGCAGCTCCTCCTCCGACTCCCCGAGATCCGGGCCATCAGCCTTCAGGCTGAAGAATACCTGTACTACAAGCACCTGAGCGGAGACGTGCCCTACAACAACCTCCTCATCGAAATGTTGCACGCCAAAAGGGCCTGAGCACCACCTCCCAAGCGCTCAGGGGTCCTAACACAGAGAGATTGGGAGGGAGGGGGGCACGGGGGGTGGGGGTGGGGGCAAAAAGAAAAGAACTGCTCCAAGCAACGCGCATGAAAAAACTGACTTGGTTTAAAGATAGAGCAATTTAAGAACGGCATAATAATCAAATACTTCGTAGCAAATACATGAGGTTGCAGGGTATTTGCATTTGCAAACTGTGAATCAGATGCTTCCCGCCTGCCTCCCCCGCCTGCCCCCAAAGGATTCCCTACAGAAGACATTGTGAATGGGTGACCAGCGCATCCGGATTTCAAACGGGAACTGAACAATGCTTGTACATTTCGATTGAGCTCCACCACGAAGAGCTTTCGGAACCGGTCCGGTTTGTTCAGTCACCTGGGGCGGGGGCAGGGGAGCGACTGAGCTCACAGAACTCCTCCACGGCAGAGCTGAACTGAACCCAGCGAGGATGCAGACATCTGCCTCCACCTGCCAGCACCCTCGGGCTTCCCTTCAAGGACCTAGCGCCTCCCCCACCCCCACCCCCGCCCCGTGGGGACCATGGGATCTGTAGTATAGGAGACCTGCGCCCAGCCACACCCAGTCGTAGTTCCACCAAACCATGAAGAGCCGCCTTTTGAATGTCTATCTTAGACCCGCAAGCAGCTAAAGGAAACAGTCTATTAATATATGAGCCTGCCATGTTAAATATGTTCCAAAGTTTGTTTTGTTCCGTGTTCATAGAGTTTAAAAAACAAGCAGGTGGCATCCCTCTTCTGTCTTCTAGAAGCACCCATTATACTAGGGGCGGCGACAACACTCTTCGAGAGCCACTGCCCGTAGCTAAAGCACGTTAGACCTTATTTCTGCTACTGTTGCTGAAACGTGGCCTTGGCATTGCTGGGTTTCATTTAAAAAAATAAAAGCATTTCTGGCCAAAAGGCTTCCAAGGATACACCCAATGTTCAATCATCAAACCTTGTCACCCATTGACAACTATATAAAACATTAGACCTGTTTTTTCTGGGATGCCAAATAGTCACAGTGTTATCTAGTTCAAAACACCACTGAAACCTGTTCAGCTATGCAAAAAGGGAAAGAAGGGGTGGGGTGGTCCAGTCAGTTGACTCCTTGTTCCAACTGACCGTCTCCTAACCACGGAGTTGGAAAGGACGGGTTTGGGTTTTGGGTTTTGACCTATTGCCTGGAAAGAAATTCCAGTAATCCAGATCTTCCCAAACGGAAAAGAGAGTGAAACTGACTGCCCTTTGTAAGTCAGAGACCAAAGTTTGCTGTAGAACAAATATTGGAGGACAAATCATTGCAAACCCCCCTCTCCCGGAGGAGGCTCTCAGTATTATTAACGAGTAATGCCGCCGCCGGCATGGAAGCTTTGCCTATGTCATGATTCTCAAAGGTAGCTGTGCAGATGTGCATCAATATTCGTTTGAAAATACAAAGTGTTAACATGTCTAAAGTCAATGAAAACACAGTGTTTACATTCTTTAGGTCCTGTGGGGGTGGGGTGGGGAGCCATGCGATCGCAAAGCCGCAAGAGCAGTCATTTCCTTAATGTTATTTTTCTGATCGGTAATTGTTCTTAACCGCGCGTAATTATCATATGTCGTGAGACACTAAAATCAACAATGGGGATCTCATTTACACTAATGTTTTGAGATGATGGCGGCACAATCACTTGTAGAAACTGTAAAAAAAAAAAGGTGTCTCCTAGTTTCTTAATTTTTTTTCAGAAATATTTCTGGCTTTTGAATAGTTATTTATATTGTATATCATAGTTTCGACTGTAGACAATTATGATGCTAATTTATTGTTCCTCGGTCTCACCTTTGTATAAGATATCGCCAAGCCTGAAGAAACCAAATCTATGTGTTTACT